AGTGACATGGCCTCTTTTTCCCATAGCCACTTGGTTACAGCCACGTCATCACTAGACTTAGAGCCGTCAACCATCACCACTGACACAGGAAGGGTCACACTGAAGTCCCCACCTGCGTTGGCCTTTGGAGGCATATTCTGGTCTGTGCAGGTGGGAGAGGATGATATATCATGTCTTCAGATAAAGCTGTCTCTGACTGATCAACTACAGATTTAAGTCTAGTTAAATCATGAAATTCTTAGTTATGTGAATTTACTTTTCCTCACCTTGTATAACATCAACCATGACAGTGTCAGTGGTGTTCTTCAGGGGGTCTTCCCCATTCCAGGTTGTAAGGAGAAATTCATACTTCCCCTTTGTCAGTCCTGACACAGTCACCTTCTTGCTATCCATGCTATCAAAATGTGCAGTATTTGGTCCACTAGAAATAAAGAAATACAATCATGATCTTATTCCATTCCATTTCCATTTTTTCAATTTTCAATATTGTAGTGTCACTATCAACATTGATGTAGAAAACCCAATTTCTGTAAATGTCAGTGCCCTGTTGACAGATCAGACTCAGTGGCTTACAATAAGCCAGTCATTGGTCTAGGAAAATTCCTTTGGATCCACTGTGAATCCTGAGATCCCCTTTTTTGACTGAACACTTATACTGCATCATCTTACCTTACAAGTTTTAGTAAATGGTTAACAAAAGTTAAGAAATTATGATAAGGAACCTCTCCAAACTGAGTTTAACTTCTAATGACTTTGTTGGACTTAGCATGCACAGAACTCTTGAATCTCTCCAGGGACATACATCTCTCTGATAAATTTAGATATTAGTATCAAATCTGTTTACCTATTAACTTTTAAGAGATAAAGGATCAGTGACACCCACTGGGTTCACTCTCCCTCTACCAGTGGAAGCCTTGTGTCATCAAGTTAATTCAATTATTAGGATAGAATGGTCCCCTTGAGCACCTGCATCTGCACCTTTGCTAACTCTCTGAAGAAAAATCTAAAATAAATAAGTTGCTGTTACAGGCCCACTTAACCACTGGGCAGTAACCTTCCCTACACCACGCTTCAGCCCTTCCCCTTGTCTTACCTACGTATTCCTATTTCTTGAGCAACTAACTTATCTCTATAACAAAACATCCTAATCCGTATCATCTACAATCAATACTCATACTACTACTTACTTCTTTTGTTTCCAGAGGTAGTGAGTGCTCTGAGAAATGTCTGTACTGTGGCTCCCATCCAAGGTGACTGTTGTATTGGGGAGAACAAGTTGGATGTCTGTACCTGCATTGGCTGAAAAACAATGTGAAAGAAATTGTCTGTCAGATATACAAATCCACACAAAAAACAAATCCACACACGCACACACACACACACACACACACAAAATTTGGTAATTAACAATATATATATTTCTTAAATGCCTACCCACTGACTGCAGCCTAGGATTCTATCTCTACATGCATTTTAAGAACAAAATAAAGTGCTCATCTGAATACTGTTACTAAGTATGTACAAAATAACCAATTTTCATTCATGTCTACTTTTGCATCCTGTGCAAATATTGTTATTCATAGTCTATTGAAACATTTTTCAAAAGCATGAGGATTCCTTTCACAAGAATTCATATTTTTTGTATAAGAACATGCATTGTTAGTATGTCTATTTCAGGCATAAAATTTATCATCTGTTTTTAACTTTGGTAAAACAGGAAAATAGGATAAATATCGTTTTATTTCAACTTGATAAAGTATTCTTTGTTCCTTTCATCAGCTGATTACATTCAACGTATATTTACAAGCTTATTCTGGTAAATTTGATTTAAGTAATACTCCTCAAAACACGATATGGATACAGAATAAGATAGCAGTGTCTCCTGGGCAGAACAGGTTGGACGGCACACATACCCATTGCCCAGGAACACAGATTTTTTTTCAAAAGTTGCCTAATGTATCATGAATAAAAGTTCAGAACTGCTTCTGCTGTCAGGGGGTTAATCTTATGGATGCTATTATGTCTTTTTATCCCGTTAACTCAAAAAAATATCCTAAATACTTATAATTTTTATATCTTCCTTAATAAAGTCAACAATGATTCTGTCCTAAACTTACCTTTGGGTGAAGAGAGATTGGGCTTCTGAACATACACGTTTACAGAAGCGTTGGACTGCTGGCCCATTGCATCCTGAACACGTAAGATGAACTGGTAGAAGCCTTCCTCTAGGTTGCTTAGATGCAAGTATGGAGTCCTTGTATCCTAAAAAAAAATATATAAATATATAAATAAAGGAAAACAATATCACATTATTCATTATAAAGTACTAGGGCTGTATGTCCACTTCATCAACTACAACCTTTTTATTTTTTAAAAGGTAACTGTGATAACTTTTTCAAAATTGTGCTCTGTTGGTAATTGTTGTATTTGAGATATTGCAATAAAATATGCATAATTTGCTAAGCAAAACTGAGCTCTTTGTATGACAAAGACTATAAACTGCCTTTTTGAAACTAAAAATCAAGCCTATCTTAGTGGCTGGCAAGACAGCTTGAAGGTTTGCTGATAAATGATGAATTACACAATTATTCACTAACTTTATCTACCTAAACTTTTTCTCCAAACAATATGCATTTGAACATGTGTTGACATATGTTTGAAAATATTTCAAGCTTCTTCATATTGTGTACAGATAATATATCATCACACACACACACACACACTAACATTAATTTGAAATCTTTCACAGCCTAAATCACAGAATTCCATCTGACAAAGTTGTCTCAACACCACTTTCAATTGCATATCTATGAGAGACACAAAATAAAAAGCGCACAGTGCTGTTATCAAATCCAGAGCAGCATACCTGCATGTCAACTGCCTTCCCGGAATCCTTGGGCCCCTTGGTCCATTCCCAGCCCTCGATGCCGTGATCATCTGAGCTCGCGTTGCCATACAGGGTTATTTCCGTCTGACAGAGTAGAAATTATTGTGAAGTGAATATCACCCAAGATAAATCAGATGCCATGGATGCTGATTACAATTCCTCTCATGTGAGACACAATTATAAGCAGAGACCTCGGGCATCTTCGAATCAAATTTCAAGAGAACAAATAAATCTTTAACACTAACCTGAGGTAGGTAGATGATCTGGTCTCCTCCTGCATTTGCCGTTGGAGGATAATCTGTCTCCTTGATGACACTGAGGACAGCAGTCGCGTTGCCCTCGAGGCCTTCCTCATCCTTCACACGCAGCCTGAGCAAAGAGACAGAAGATTAACAAATTAAAGAATTGAACATGCAAATGCACAAAGTAACAAATTAATATCACCAAATATATATAGCATAACTGAGAATTACTGGACATAAACAAAAAATGCAAATGCACAAAGTAACAAATTAATATCACCAAATATATATATATATGTATAGTAAGTTGAGTGAGTGAGTGAGTGAGTGAGTGAGTGAGTGAGTGAGTGACTGACTGAGTGTGTGTGTTTGTGTGTGTTTTTTATGTGTGTGTTTTTTTTGTCTTTTTTTTTTTAGTGTGTTTTTGTTGTGTTTGTGTGTGTGTGTGTGTGTGTGTGTGTGTGTTTTTTGTGTGTGCATGTGTGAGTGTTTGTGTTTACATGTGTGCATGTGTGTTTATTTAAATAATTTTGTTTTTCTAATAATTCCTTAGAAAGGACAAACATACATTATTGTGTAGTTTCCAGGAATAAGATCGGTAAGCTGCACCGTGGGCCCTGTCTCTTCTGCCAGCTTGTACCCCAGGGGTGCTGTGACCATTTCCCAACGATAAGACACGATCCCTGCATCATCTGTGCTTCCTGAGCCGTCGATGATCACACCGGAATTGGGGAGCTTAATGGTGTTTGAAGGAGAATTGATGATGGCTGTGGGAGGTTGGTTGATCCGCTTGGCTGCAGACGGAATGATGGATTAACTGCCGCACCCAAATGTGCTAAGGATATAATGTGATATGCTGGCAGAATAAACATATCTCAACAATCAAGAAAAATGTCATATAAAAGATTTTTTAAAAAGGTAAAAATAAATATATAGACAGATTCATAATAGATTTATATATATATATATATATATATATATATATATATATATATATATATATATATTATATATATATATATATATATATATATATATATATACATATTCATATACATATACATATATACATATACATATACATATACATATATACATATACATATACACATATACATATACATATACACATATACATACATATATATACACATATATTTGTGTGTGTGTGTGTGTGTGTGTGTGTGTGTGTGTGTGTGTGTGTGTGTGTGTGTGTGTGTGTGTGTGTGTGTGTGTGTGTGTGTGTGTGTGTGTGTGTGTGTGTGTGTGTGTGTGTGTGTGTGTGCATGAATAAATTTAACTCACCAGGGAGAACGGTGACGTTGCCAACTGCCTGTCCATATGCACCTGGGGCTTCCACCACCACCTTGAATATATAAACGCCCTGGATCAAGTGTGAGAGGGTTATTGTCTGACTGTTGGTGTCACTGACTGAGCCAGGGTCACTGCCCTCGCTGTCTGGCTGCTTCAGAAGGGTCCACTCATATTTGTTCTCAGTGTCTGCTGGTGGCGCAAAGGGACAAGGTAAGGTGTGTTAGTTCTTTAACAACTTGTTACACATGTATGGTTAAGCATCATTTTCAGGCTAATATTATGTATGAATTTAGTCCCACTCACGTATATTTATATCTATTATTCTGATATACTGCATACAGGATTATCACAACCTTGGATTTTTAAGTGTACAAATAATTTGAGAACAGATATCATTTGCTGCTGTTTGCATATCTATGATTACGCAATGGATGAGGTTAACATGACCATCTTGTGATGAAAAAAATTGGCTGAGGGCTGGGTGATGGGAATATACCATCATCAAAAGAAATTTGCCAGGTGATGTGAATGTGGGAATGCCCTTATTCTGGTTCAGG